TTCAATACTTCACTGATTTATTTTCATAAGATCTATTTCTATTGGTTTAAAATCTTTTCATTATAGTTTCAATGAAAATTCAATATTATCAAATTTCATTAAATACTCAACATGTTGTTTTTTTTTGTTTTCATTTTGCTCTTCATTCAATGATTTGTTTTTCATCATCATTATTTGAAAATAATCATTGTCAAATGATTATTGGATAATCTATCAAAACAATATTTATTTATTTATATATTTAAAATTATTTTCAGGAGAAAATAAATAAAATGAATATATGTTCTAAATAACTATTCTGTTCATATATATTTTAATTAACAAGTCTCACTAGTCAAATTGATCTTATTTTAGTAGATCACCTATCTCATATAGTAGAGAAATAAGGTGAAAATTATATTAATTAAACTATTTTTGAGCAAAATATTCATCTATTAGAAAAGAGATATCCGATCAATACATACATAGATATTCACTATATTGAACAAAATAGAATTTATACCAATCGTTTTACATAGATATTCATCTATTTAATACCTGTTCTTTTTAAACATGTGAATAGATTGAATACAATCTTTCATAGGTATTAGTTTTGTTTTTAGTGGTATGATCAATAAATATCATTGTCATCAATAATAAAACTGATCTTTTTAACTTAATCTGTAAAAGTTTTATGATTTCGTTAATATTTTTGTATATTGATTAAAAAGCATTGTTGCCTTATGATTTATTCCGACCTTAAATCACATATGAAGTAGAATAACTACATGCTATTATGTAACAAGCTATGAATAATAACACAAAACTATTGGGTTGACCAGAAAGTTTTTGCGTTTTTTCTTTAATTTTCCTAGAACAGTCAAGAAAGTTCTAGAAGTTTCCATACTGAAGGTATATAAAGGGGGTACGAATTTCTTTCGAACAATAACATAATCATAGATATGGACGTTGATCTCGAATTCGAATTGAAGATATCTCTTAGAGACCACCGGGTGCTTTTGCTTCATGAATTTTGTTTGGGTCACAAAGCAATGGAAGCAACCAGCAACATATGCAGCACGATGGGCAAGAATGTACTCTCCATTCGTACAGCGCAACATTGGTTCAATCGGTTCAAGAACGCTAATTTAGAACTCGACGATTTACCTCGTTCCAGAAGATCACTAGATGTGGATTTGGATGTTTTGAAGCAGATCATAGAAGAAGATCCTAGACTGACTACACGGTGTTTAGCAGAGCGACTTGGATGCATTCATGCTACAGTGGAAACACGTCTGAAAGAATTAGGCAAAACGTGGAAATATGGTGTTTGGATACCACATGAGTTGTCACCACGTCAGCTCCAACTCAGGGTTGACGCTTATATGGAACTAATGACGTCTCATCGCAACTACCAACCCTAGAGAATATACTGGGTTAAGGGTACCCAAAAAAGTAGCCTGATACCAGTATGTCACAGGAACTTTTGGGTACCAAAGTACTTGCAGGTACTTACAGGTACCTAAGTGGTGCTTTGGCAAGTACCCTGCTGAAAAATGCACAGTAATTGGGTACCTAAAGGTACTGATCAAGTACTGAATTGGGTACCATTGTATAATATTTCGAAGTACCCTGTCACCAAATTTTCAGTATGTTCAGGATCGAACCTGATCTTTGACTCTTTAAAATTTTTTATTTTTCTTGAGATAATTTACTACATTTTTTTTTACTTTACTCAATTTAATTTTTTCAATTCCAAAAACTTAGCAGGAACAATGTCGGAATCCGACTCAACTTGAGTTGGTCGTGAACCACTTCAGGGTAGTCCGATCTTAATTTACGACCAAGCTCGGCATTTCCTCGACTAAGAAATAGTCAAGAAATAATTTAGAAAAAATTAGTATGAAAATTGATTATTTTCTTATGATTTATCGAGTTGTTTATATAGAGCCGTACGTAAAAAAGAAAACGGTGAATGAATAGTCGCCACACAGAACGCGACAAATTTAGGATACCCTGTCGAGCTTTCCTCAGTAAAGTTACAGACTTGTGTATCCATGCAAGTACTTATTCAGTGAATGCACTTTTACGGATACCTCAAACAGGACATACATCAGTAAAATTACTGAGAATTTTCAAAGTACCCATATTGGGTACCCTGCTAGAGCTTTCTCAGTACATGGGTACCTGATCTCAGTACTTTCTCTAGAGTTGATATTTTCTTGTTTCTTGTATTCATTTCATTTAAACTCGTTTCACTGATGATAAAAGATTATGTCTTTCTTTTTCTACTCATTCTTGCTTTGTCGTTTTGTCCTGATCAAAATGATCAAATCAATATAAAAATTAAGAAAGATACCAATGATTCTCTCATTGAAAACGTTTTTTGTAGTACAGCGAATCGATTAGAGCAAGACAGGACGAAAGAAGTGTTCTATGACGGTTTCTGTTACCGATGGATGCTCTTCACCATCGCAATCTGCACTGTGCATTTTAAATATCGACATTACGCGAAGCCTTCTGGTCGGTCTTGCTACAGAACCTTATGTAGATTATTAGATCAAATGTACAGTGAAATTTACAACTTCTTTTTCGAAATTTACATCAAAGCACTCTTTAGTATCGATTTTTTCAATTGGTACTGAATACTCGGACTTAGATTTTCTTGTTTCGAGTTAGAATAAGCCAAATGATATATTTAGAAATAGAAAAATATCTGCAACTGAGAATGAAAATACAATGATAAATATTAATGAGATATTTGTTCTAATACAAAGAAATCGAAATCATTAATATCTTTCAGATGCAGGTTCACATGCAAAAAAAGAACGATTTATCTAATTAGAATAATAAATGCGGAAGCTTCGGATTTAAATCCGAGAGTTATGTGTACTTCAAAAAGTGAATCATACAAATCAATCATCCTAGACTGGCTGAATATCAAAATTATACTGTGAAATCTACCATTTAAAATGTTGATTTCTATTGCGCGTTGCCAAACCAATAGGACATGGGACCGAATACAGCTCAAGTCTGAACTTTTCCCCTTGGTTTACCCTAAGAAAGTCGTTTTTCCTATAACTTCATTTCTATTGGTCACTGCACAACTAATAGTATTTCGATGGAAGTGCAGTACACATTCGAGTTCTCCATATCTGAAAATCTCGAAGTATCGTCAGTGTGACCGGAAGATAAAGCTCTATTTGTGGATCAATTAGATCGTGGACCAAAATATAACCGAGTTCTCTTTAATTGTCCTTGTCATTGGTAAGTCAACCTTCTTGTTTCTTTATGTTTTATATATCATTTTGTAGTTCTTGAAATTCTCTATCGAATGGTATACAATAGTTGGGGTTTTAATTGAGTATGATAGGAAAAGTCTTTTACGAAAGTCGCGATGGGTCCATTTTTCCACAGAAAGCTGTAGGGAAAAATGGGTATTTTTGCAATAACTCAGGAACGGCTCGGCCGGTCCTTCTCATTTTCGAACTCGACCGAGATATTGTGAAGATTAAGCTGTGTAGAAAGTTTCATCGCAATCTGACTCTGCTGTCAAAAGTTATCATGTAAACAGCCAACCGGACGGACGGACACACTGACTATTATATAATGTACTCACTTTTTGAGTACACAAAACTATGATTCGGTTCAAAACTAATATCAGATTCAGAATCAGCGTTAAAAACTGAGTCGATTTATGTATTTTGTGAATAATTATGAGCAAAAAATTGTTTTCGAAAAATTGCCGTACCCCCCCCCCTCAGGGATGGTCTGGTCAAAAATCACAATTTTTTCGATGACTCAGCCATTTCTTGACGAATCCTTCTCATCTTCGAACTCGACCGAGATATTGTCAAGACTAAACTGTGCACAATATTTCAGCTCAATCGAATGTAATTGTGAAGAGTTATCGAATAAACGGACGGACGGACGGCCGGACACACTGACCGATTTTAGTAGTGTACTCACTTTTTGAGTACACAAAAATTACATTCTAAAATTGATGCAATTGAGGTAAACAATAGAAAAAGGGAAATATTCATGAATATCGTTTAGATCTTGTTTAATACTGTTTAGTCGAACTAAGTTAAGATTATGATTTCATTTTGTTTGCCATTGTTTAACATAATGGAATCATTCTTACCATTGTCGATATATGGAAATAAAATTTCACTGTTTCTGTTAAATTTTCATTAACAGACAATTGTCACAAGAAGATGCGAGAAAGAAAAGAAAGTAACAAACCGTCACTAGTTAGATAATTTGATATCTTGAACTACTAGCGTCACTTGTAAAACTGTTTTGTGGATGATCATTTTCTTTTGACCAATGGTATACCAGAATGTGCAACAAAAGAAATATATGCTATGTTGCGATCTAGTCTATCCATGTTACAAATGAACACAGTTGTTGAAGTTGAATAATCTTTGTTTCCCTTTATTCTTGATTGATTCTACGGTATATATATCAACAGTGAAAAGAGAAGTCACATTTACATTTATTTTTGCATTAATTAATACAATTAATACGAGAGTCTGATTGAGCGATATAACGATTGATATTTTCTATTTTCGTGTTTTTGAATATTTTTCATCAAATAAAAGTCACCTTTGTTTTTTTTTCTAGATCTATCACGTTTATCATTTCCTCGTCAAAGTGAGTATTTTTTTTCATATTTTTCTGCCTTCTATTAACGAATGAAGCTACCCAGTGGGTCTTTTTTTGTCTAATTGAACACTGAACTATACCTATTTTTTTCAGCATCAACATCATGTGCCATAACAGAAACTTGCCCGTAATCGTAAGTTAAATGTTAGAGGGATGAGGATGCACATAAAGATTTAGAATGATTTTGCTTTTTTAACCCTTCCACACATTCTTGCTTTTTGTATATCTATTCATCTCTGTTCTGTATATATGTACTTATTTATTGTCTGATTGTGATGCTAAATTCTTATATTCTTTATTTGACTGATGTGCCTTTGAATGCTTACCAAACATCTACTTGCTTCTTTCAGAGAATGCAAGAACCTCCATCAACTGTAAGAATTTGTTGAAAATAATAGATAGGTCTTTTGCATGTTTTTAGTTCTTTTTTACTTTCATAGTGATGTATGCTTTTAACCATTTCTTCATCATTAATTATTTTTTGCATTGTTAATCAATTTTTCTTTTCTCTAATTTTAGCCAAAATCTCTTGAACAACAACTGGCTGAAGCTCTCCAAGAAATTGCTAACGTAAGTGTTTTTGACATTGTCGAATTAATTGGTACGATTTTCTTATGTTTTAGCTTCAACAACAACAACAGCAATCCCAACAACAATTCCAACAACAAATTCAACAGCTTCAGCAACAAATTCAACAGCTTCAGCAGCAGATCCAACAACTCCAACAAGCCGTGCCACCACAACAACCATCCCCACCACTCGAACAACAACAACAACCAGAACCACAGGTCTCACAACAACAATCATCACCACCAGTCCATCAACAACAAATCGTAGCACAACCACAACAAGTTCCACAAAACGAACAATTACAACTAGTAGGAGCGGCAGCACGTATGCGAAGACGACTTCGACGTCTTGTTCGAGCACCACATCGACGTGTCCGGCGATTGCCATCTGAAAGTGAATAGGTAAAAGTATACTTGTTAACCATTGATGTGTAATACTTAAATTTTCACTTGGTAAAATTTGGTATTTCTTTTTCTAGATGTCAAACCGAATTAAAAAAAAACAAAGAAAAAAATAATAAAAGTAAAAAACTATTTTTTATTTACAAATTCATCATCAAGTATTATTTATAATTTTAATAATGATGGTCAATTAGACATTTTTGTTAGGAATCTTTGTGAAGATAATTACGGAATATTTATTCATAATAATATTCGAACCTGCTGCAACATGATTAATATATCAAATTGGTGATAAATCGAATTGAAAATCAATTGTTCGTGGTGATTTTAATAATGATAATAATCCTGATATTTCTATTGCTAATTATGATATAAATAATATTGGAATTCTTTTAGAATATGAAAATGGATTATTTTCTGGTCAAGAAATTTATTCAACGGAAAATAATTTCCTTATTTTATTTCCTATTGGTGATATTAATTCTGATAAGGGTTATTGTTGTTAGTTGTCAAATAAATAATGTTCTTATTTTTATTACTTATTCTAATGGAAATATAAATCTTAATAAAAACTTATTCAATTGGTATTTATTCTGATCCATCTTCTGTTGCTATTAGTGATTTATATGAATTATAATTATTTATATATTATTTTTGCTCATTTTGAAATGATAAATGTACTTATATTTTATGGATATGAAAATGAAAATTTTTTTTTACCATCAAAATCATATTCAATTAGTTGTAATGTTCATCCAAAATCAATTACTAGTGAGCATAGAAATAATGACAATTTATTGGATAATTATGATTCAGACTATGTAGAAGTTTTAGTAGAAACTTGGTAGTTTTTTTTTCTGTATGTTTTCAATAATCAATTTATTAAATTTTTCTATTTTGTTTATTATTAATGTTATATTTTCAAGATGATCGTCGAATTGAATTCAAAATCAAATATTGTTCATAGATTATCTGAGATTTTCTTTTTTATCAACTTCTCATCAATTCAATAAATATATTATTACTTTTTTTGTATTCTCTACTCTTTCTATACAGATAATATATATATGTATTTTTGTTCTTTCTTTCTTTATCTAATAATCAATACATATATTACTCTTATATTTTCTGATTTCTAATAAAAATTAAACGAAAGAATATTTCTATATTTAGAATAATTTTCAATATTCTTATTTAGTTTTTCTTCATTCACAAATAAAAATGAATACTCATAAGATTAAATAGAAATAGTAAACAACTAAAGAAAAATCTATATATATAAACAAAAACTTTATCTTAATTAAACATAAATTGATTTTTATATAAATGAGTGTTTAACTTGTTCATAAGATATAATAAATTAGTTTAATATATAATAAAATATAATTAAAAATTCTTAATTTATTTATTAAAAAAGAGCTCAATATTTACAAGTGGAAATTTGATGGCAACTAGAAGTTTGTCAGTCGAACACTCTCAGGTCCACATCTCTTAATCGTTAAAGTCATGAAAATCGATAAAACCGAGCAAATTCGACTAGTTTTAATGGTATAAAAATTAATAAAAAGTCTCGGAAAAACCACCAGCAAACTGACTGGTATGCTGGTCTGGTTCCAAGTATGATTTAAATAAAATCGTGGCTGATGAGGTAGGAATTGTTTCGGCAGTAGAGACGTAAGCTGATTGGCTGTGTCAGCAGTTTTTCGGAAAAATTTTAGATTATCACTGACGCAACATGAAAATAAATGTTCGATTTTTGAAAATTTTCTACATCCAGGATCAGTTTTCAGGCATATTTTTATCTAGTTTCTTGTCAGTATTCTATCTACCTTCATTTTCTTTCTTTATTGTACATTTCAAAGCTTTTTGAAATCAAGAAGAATTTGGAAGTATTGAAAACTTTCAGTTGACACTGTAGTCTGAGGCATTTATAGTTGACGACAACGACAGACGAGAAAAGTTGTAAAATATCCAGTCACGTCACTATTGATCAATCAATCGGTTTGAACATCTAGTTACCAAAAGAAAATCTTCATATTCTTGAATTTTCGGCCTAATACTTTTTTCCTCTTGATTTCTGATTTCAATCTTATAAACTATTCACAAATCTGTACTTTACATCAAGAAGAGTATTTTATTTTATCATTCTTCTATTTTATTGACAGATTTTAACCAAATATGCAAAAGAAAAATGACTAGAAGAAATATAAGTTTCATTTCATGCAAGTTAAGACGAAATACAAACAAAGTGATAATAGAAAAAAAACAACAATAATTTCATACTGACGTTATAAATCTGACATGTTCATTAAGAAGAAATAGATGATAATAGTAATTTATTTACATTAAAAATGAATATTTTTTTTGTATTATAATGGTTCTTCTTCATATTTATCGTCTAGATTCAAGTCCGTTTAGATAATATTCTTTGGGGAAACTGTAACGCTGATTGGAATTCAAATCCTTAATCAATCTAAAAATGTATCTTGTCAATGAAATATGTATTCATTCACCTGATATTAGTATGCAAAACTAAACGTTATATTAATAGAATATGTCTTGTTCACTAAGTAGTTCTACAATAACTGTTACTTGTGAACTGTTATCATCCAAAAATAAGTAAATTATCTTGAGATGTTTATATTTTCGTTTTATTTCATTTTTTATATCGAAAGAAATTGGAATATTGAAATGAATATTTGCACACTGATAAAAGCATAGGCAGCGAAGCTTTTAGGCCTGAGTCGGCTCAAATATTTGAAAAAAACGTGTAAATCTAATCGTAATCATGTGTTTGATTAGAGGATGCGGTTTAAAAAAAGTAATGTTTATTTTGTCCTTGAAAGTAATATTCATTTTGATGTTAGACCGTAGACAGATATGATCATATTTTTTTGAAACAGTTTGACACATTACTAAAAGCAACTTGTTTAAGGACAGAAATAGTCAACGCACTGTGCACGTTTATGGCGTTGTAGTATTTTTGTATTTATCCTTAACAGTTTTTTTATCTTGTCTACTAAGAATTTTTTAAACGCATTTCAGGTGTTTCTAACAAATCAATCCAAAACCTCTTCAGAATTTGCCCTAATGAATTTTTGAAAGATGAAAGAAAAGGTGTATAAACGATTTCTATTTTAGATTATATTGGAATTCACAAAGATATTGGAAATAATATTTGTTTTTCATTTATTTTTGCACGGAAAAATGATAAAAACTTGAACGACTTTTGAAGGTGTATCATTAAAATCTCAGCAATATCTAGCGAAAAATATTCTCTCGACATACTACAATTGATTTAGAAAAATAAAAGAACTAAAGATACACGAGACACTTCTATTTTTCACCGTACCGGTGGAATGAACGCACTAGAAATGGTACAATAATTATCAAAAACAAGCTTTGCATGCCGAAAAAAAAAAGAATTACTGAATAAAATGATACTAACAAAGTAAGTTATGTCTTGGTCAAAAGTGAGCTGCTAGCCTGGCCTGCAACTTGTCAGACAGAAGGCCAGGCGGGCAGGCCAGGCTGAATTTGAAATTTTAGCCTGATCTGCAGGCCAGGCCGGGTCAAAAGTGGTAACCTGAATGTGACATAATACTAAATTTCTTAGTAGTCAACTTAGACAAAAATTAACTTCACAAATCAATAATGCTGACTTTCGACATTTGTTCTTCAGTATTTCTACAAATCAACGTCTTTATACATTCGATAGCTTTTCATCTTCGATTTAAAAAAAATGTTTTTTTTTACCATTTATTGCTTTCACATCAAGACTCTTTGATGTTTCCCTATTCAGAACATTTACTTTCGATGTTTACAGACTGACATTCATTCAAGTTCTAAGTCTGTAAAAAAATATTCATAATGCTTCTCACTATGCTTAGTTAGCTGTTCTAAGGAAGCTTGTTCCTCAGTTGAAGAGCTTCTTGATTCAAAGAAGTACTTGAAATCAAAATCACATTTTCAGTAGTGGCGGAACCACCGGGGGAGCTATGGGGAACTCCGCTCCCCCTAGAAACTTCCGAGCTCCCCCTAGGAAATTTTGAGCCTCTTTCAGACTGTTACGCTTTCTTCCTTTAAGAATTTAAATGCACATACTGACAGTTTGTATAATAGCTTGTTTATTTTTTGTCGATGAGTAAATGTTGTTTTTGACATTTCTTCTAATCATATTTCATGAGCGACACTTCTGTGTCATTGTATTATGGTATTAATTATAAACGATGCAGAAGAGGATATCATATTTAAATTCTATTGGATATAACAATCGACTAATAACGACAGATGAACACTGACGAGAGAACAAATAAAAAACCCATTCTCATGAACTTCAGTATTGATTATGAATAAAATTCTTTTTTGAATCATACATATTGTTATGGATAATAAAAATCCTAATAAACGTAACGCGACTCTTGATAATTTCTTTATATCTAGTAAAAAACCTCGAGATGAAAATAATAGTCCTAACGGCACTTCAATTTCTCCATGCTCATCAAGCTCTTCACCATCTTCTTCTTCAACCACAACGAACGTTTTAGTTCCCTCATCTCTATCCAACGAATGTTTAACAGTTGTTGGCACGTCTAGCGCCACAAATTCATCTTTAAATACTGAAATCTCATCACCAAAATCTTCATCAAAGGGTTGTCCAGCTGATATTAGCCAGAGAAGCCAAGATTTACCTGTACAACCTCGTTTAACAGTTTATCCAACAGATAATGAAAATAGATCATTTCAAGTAAGATGGTATATCAAGCGAGATTGGTTGGAGTATTCGGTAGAACGAGATGCAGTATTTTGTTATTATTGTCGTCATTTTTCTCAATTCGGCACGCCAACACGAATTCAACGAGATGCTTTCACGACTTGTGGTTTTAACAATTGGAAGCGTGCTCTGGCAACTGATAGAGGTTTTCACAAGCATGTAAAGAGTTAAACACACATAACATCATTAGCAAACTTTTCTGAATATAAATCACGTGAAAAATCTAATACATCTGTAATAAAGGTTCTTGAAAAACCAAGAGCTGAGCAAATTCTTCATAATTGTAGTAAATTGATTAAGATCAGTTCAGCAATTTTATTATGTGTTAAACAATGAATAGCTCTTCGTGGACATGATGAAAGTACTGAGTGAGTGAACCAGAGTATTGTTCTATTAATTTGGAATATATAAACGGATGTGTTTTTTTGTATTAGTTCAAACAATCGTGGTAATTTGATCGAAATATTGAAGTGGTCTGCTAAAACTGATCCATTAGCTAAGGCTGTGTTGGAAGAAAGTGCAGGCAACGCAACATATCTATCACATCAAATTCAAAATGAATTGTTAAGTATTATGGCGAATCAAATACGCGATAATATTGCTAAAAAAGTAAGAAAAAAACTTCTAGTTTCAATTTTGTAGAAATTCTATGAAGTTAATTTACATTCTATAATATAATATAAACTAATTCTAATATTAGTATTTCTTTCACTTTATCTCTGTAACATATGTTATGTTCTTAGTTAAATGGAAATGTATACGTGTTACTAGCTGATGAAGCAACAGATGTCAGTCCCAATAAACAATTATCTATTTGTCTTCGTGCAGTTGATGATCAAAATCAGATTAAAGAATACTTGATGGGATTTGTTCGTCTTTGTCGATTTAATGCTGCTACTCAAGCAAAAGAAATAAGTGATTTCTTGATCAAACACAATATTCATTTCTCAATGTGTATAGCTCAACGCTATGATGGGTATATTGAAGACGATTTATATACTTAGGCTCTATCGTCTTTTATATTTTTTCTTTAGAGCGTCGGTCATGTCTGGAGAACATAATGGAGTGCATGTGATCTTACAACAGAACTTTATACCACGAGCTATATATATTCACTATATGGCACATCGCATTAATTTAGTTATATGTGATGTTTGTTCAGTAGTACCATATATAGATGAATTCTTTTCAATCGTTTCTAAAATTCATGATTATTTTACAACATCTGGAGTTACTAATCGATATTTCTGTGATGCACAGAAATTGCTGGGATTGGGTAGACTTATTTAAAATAGACATCTATTCTGTAGTTTTGTCCGTTCTTTTTAAATTAGATATGACTTCAACATTAAAAAATGGGCAAATACACGATGGGATTCAAGATTTAAATCGATAGATTCAATTAAAAGTAATTATTCAGCAGTTCTTGAAGCATTACGAGATTTGATACATGATGGAGGTAATCGTGCAGTGGATGCAAGAGGTTTGCTGGTGGTTTTGAACGATTCACTGTTTATAATAGCAATGTTTATTTTACATCGTCTGCTTGGTCCAATTAAAATCCTTTCGGATCAGCTAAAAGGTATATTCTTTTTCCGTAGAAAAAAAGCTTATTTACATTTTAATTTTTAATTCGAAAGGAGTATGCACTGATCTTGGTAGTACACACAATCTCATCATAATAATCTGTGAACAACTAAATCTTATGAGAAATGAAAGTTCATTTAAAGAATTGTTTCAACAGGCTATAATTTTTGGGAATGAAAATGGTATTGATATAAATGGACTAGTTCGAACGAGGCGTCAGAAATCAATTCCATCACGTTTTAAAGACTGTATTATTACAACATCAGCGGGACATCGAGATTATAATAATAGTGAAGAGAACTTTCGAGTGACTATGTACCTTCCAACAATTGATTCTATACTGGTCGCATTAAATGAACGGTTCTCTTGTCATAACTTACAAATAGCAAAGAGCATCACATCTTTATCACCAAACAATGGAAATTTTTTGGATATTGAAACATTACAACCATTAATTGATCATTTATCATTGGAAAAAAAAACATTATAAAAAATGAAATTGCTGTTATAAAACCCATGATTAAAGATACTAAACTGTCAACTGTGTTTGATGTACTCAATGAATTGAAGCCAATGAAACAAGCATTTTCTTCAACTGTCGATTTGATCAAAGGTACGATTAGATTTCCTGTATCATCTGTCACGTGTGAACGAAGCTTTTCGGAAATGAAATTGATTAAAACATATGCTCGAAACACGATGGGAGATGAAAGACTCAGTGATCTTGGTGTGTTAGCTATAGAAAAAGAATTTGATATAGATTTTGAAAAAGTTGTTGATGTATTCGCCAACACACACAAAAATAGTAGAATTATGTTGATATAACTCAGTAATTACAAAATAAATTTGAAGTTAAAGCTGTGCACATGTTTATTAATACATGGAAATAATGAGTAATATGTAACTTAATAGAATATTAAAATTTCAAGAACTACATCGAGTTTGAAAACGTTCGAAGAAAAATCTTGTACTACTTTGCTCAAACCTTGGATAATGAATGTGGAGCTCAGCTCCCCCTAGGACAAAATTCTGGTTCCGCCACTAATTTTCAGTTTCTGTTAATAGAAATGAGAGAAAAGCAGTTCTCCAGTTCGTTTCCAAAATTATCACGTTCAACATCAATTGTGATAAAACACAAGACAAACATAAACCTTTCAATATATTTTGAGAGAAACTCACTGTTAAATATTTGAGATTGAAGACTTCAGAGAATTTAGCATGTCAAAATAACAATCGTTGGCATATGTACTGATATCCAGATTCCAAGAATACAAGAAAGATATCTAGAAACAAATTTTAAGATATCAGGATCTACTTGATGGTTTAAAAAGGCTTCCGTATTTTTTCACAGTTCAGATCACTTTTCCAGTTTCAAAGCTTTTTAAAAGCCGGTGACTGTTTCATTCCCGATTCCTATTTTCGAAGAGCTGTTGACCAATATTTTATTCTTTTCACGAAAATGGATTCAATAAATAATTAAAACTGACATCATCGATTAATACAAAGTTGTAAATGTAATTGATTTAAAGAAGCCAACCTGTAGACTAGGTCAAGCTGAAAAAGTGGCCTGTTAGCCATTGGGATCTGAATATCGTTTGCATCATTATTGAAGATATTGATAAAATTACATGTAGATATAGGTCATTGAAAAGCATTTCTCAATAATGTCAATTATGTTGATAAATTTAAATTAGTTGTTTATCATGTTTTATATTATTTAAACTAATTAAATAATGTGAATATTGCTTTTCGTTTATTGTCGTTCTATGAAAAAAAAAACGAGATGATTATCATGAAATACATATTTATATTCGTTTATTTTCATAGATTGATCTATTTGATTAAGGTAAATGTTTGAAAAAAAAATGAGTAATATATATATATATATATATGAATAAAAGTAAATCGAATTAATTAAAAATAAAAGCGAAAATAAAGAATAGATTATTTTTAAAATAAGTTTTTATATGTAATTAATAATAATCATAATAATAATAAATATAAAATAAAATCATATTTAAAAACAAAAACAAAAAAGTCATTTATGTGTTTAATCATTGATTAAGAAAAAAAAATTTTAAATTTATTTAAATTCTTTTAAATAAATTCAAGATATTTATTTGAATTAATTATTTAATATGTTATCTGTTAATATTATTTGTGTTGATTATAAATGATTAGTTTTATTTGTGTTAATTGTCAATAATAATAATAAAATAATAATATAAAAAGAAATAATTCATTTCTATATGTTAATATCTATACAAGCTTGATTTAATCTAATCTATTCAATTAATTTTTTATCAATATTTATAATGACAATATATTCATTATCTTAACAGTAATCAATATTATTTATTAGTGCTTTTTTTTTCATTGATTAACTATACTCAATTGTTTTCTTTTTTTTTTCTGTGTTTTTTTTTTATCAAATCGAATAATTTACAAAGGGAAACATTAATTTAAATATATCCGGAAAAAAAACGAAATTTTATAAAAATTTTCTGAATTGAAAAGAAATAATTGTTGATATTGTCTTGTTTTGTTGAATAATATTAAAAGAAATAAATGTTTTCGAGTGGTTTCTACTCAATTAGTTGATAATGGAAGCGAGCGAGAACGCTACGCACAGACACAAAAACAAATACAAAAAAGAAAAAAAACGAAAAAAAGAAAAAAGAAAAAAAGAGACGATAAATGGAGGAATGCTAAAAGCACGATGCCGAACATGTTTTGTATGTGTTTTTGTTGTTTAATATGAATCATTCTCTTGAATAGTTGAAATTGAAAGTTGTTTTTTTTTTAAATGAATATCATCTTTTGTATGTTTTTCATATTCAATTGTTGTTGAATATGATGTTTTACATAATAAACATCGATATGTTAATTGTTCGATTTTAAATATATAACCTGATAAATTATTTAAATCTTCACTTGATTTTATAGATTGAGGTAATGTTGATCCAGATATTTGCCAACAAACTAATGCATGACATCGACATGATTCATATAATGGCCCTAAACATTTATATATATTAGTTTATTTAAATAAACAACGTATCTATAGGCATTCTTAAATTAGTTTTTTGGTGATTTACATAACTCTTATTATCAAAAAAAAAGAAAGAAATCAGACAGTTACCTTGACAAGTTTTTAACTAGACTATTTTTTGATAAAATCTCAAACTTAACCTATAGAATAATATAGTTCGTATAATAAATATTAAATAAATAATTGATTTGCTTCTCTAGTTCAGAACAGAACTAAAACTCAACTGGTCGATATATATTAGATTTCTTGATTTATCTATCTATATTTAGTTGAGATAATCTGACAAAAGTCAATTATTAAATAAATAGACAAATAAATAATCAAACATCTTAACATTTTTTATGATAATGAAGAAACTATTTGTCTTTAAGATCAAAATTGATGTTCATATCATCATTATAAGTAACAAACAAATTTCTATACTATTAAACTATATTTATCGGATTATAGAAGCATAAAGATATCAAGTCAATCGTTAATCATTTACTTTTTAATTAATGTCATATGAAATAATATCTCCGTTTTTTTTTTGTTTCTTATATTAATAAAAATATTTGAAAAATCTCTTATGACTGTTTAACTATTTGACGTATATCAATTAACTTAACTTTGACGTTGACTTCTATACAAAATATACTTATTGAAATTCTGTCTTCAATCGTATCTTTGAAAAATTAAAATCACCTAGAAAATTATTTCCATTTGACTATTCAAATAGATTATTATTAATCAATTATATTTTTAATATTAAATATTTAAATAAATCTGAATATTATTTCATTTATTATATTCAGATTATATTACAGGGTGGTGAAAAACTTACTGCAACCGAACTCAAATTTCAATATATCAATTAACGATTGAGCAAACGCGATCATTTTTTTTCCAGTGATAGAAGCATCTACAAGCTTCATATCGATAAAGACACGTCTAGGAAGACCCTTTGTTAAGTATCACTATTGATCTCAATAAGATAAATTTTACTTTTTCACAGTTAGAAAAAAAAAAGTAACTTTGCCGAAAAAAAATTGAATATCTCGACAATGGCTCAATCTAACGATATGACTCTTTTATCAATGATAGAGGCATGTTCAAGCTTTATATTCATAGGGATATACATAGAGAAATCCTTTGTTCAATATATTGTTTTCTATCCTATCTGTGAAAAAGTAAAATTGTTTTGTTGAGGTCATTAATGCTATTTAATAAAGGCTGCATCTAATCTTGTTCGTATAGATTTAAAGTGTGAACATGCTTCTAATATTGGTAAAAATATCAGATCGTTTGCTTGATCCGTAGCGTAGATATTTAAGTTTTTCTTGGTATGGAGACTTTTTGACGATATGCATGGTAGACTATAAGTTAGTTTGTCAAAATAAAAATTGAATATCTTCATTACGGCTAAGCTGAATATCCATAAAGACAAGTCTAGATAAACCTTCTTTTAAGTATATTGTTTTATTATTCTATATGTGAAAAAGTAAAATTTATCTTGTTGAGATCAATAGTTATACTTGACGAAGGATCCACCGTAAACATGTCTTTATGGATATAAAGCTTGTAGATGCTTCTATCACTGGTAAGAAAAATAACTGCGTTTGCTTAAGCCTTAATTGAAATATTCAATATTGAGTTCGGTTGCATGAGTTTTGTGCCATCCAGTATTTGAATAGTATCAATATGATTTGCTTTGGTTGATTTTAATTTGTCAATATCTTGTTCATTGATTATATAAACATATGACTTTTTTTTTAAATTCTATACGAAGATAAACAAATGAATATCGTTTTATCATTTTTTTTATTGTTTTATTAATCGACCGATTTTATTTTTTATTGAATATTTATCGAATGTTAATTTAAATGATATTATTCAATAGATGATGATAAAATTATTTTAAAACAATAACGTTTAAAGACAATGTTGAATAAATATGTCGGTATATAGATTATTGAATTATTATCATAAAGATAGACGGTGTTTTTGTTGTTGTTGTTGTTTAAACAAGGAGAATAATATATATAAGATGTTATTGTTCTAATCAATATTAATTGGTTTGTTCAATAAAATAATATTAATTTATTTATAAATGATTAAAATGTTAATATTGTCTATTAAATGATAATATTTAATAAAATTTCTCATCGATTTAATTATTATTCAATAAATAAATATTCAATAAAAACAAAATAAAACCGGCAATGGTCGATTAATAAAAACAAAAAAACGAAATTATTTATGGAAATAATATTTTATTTCATATTGAATAAATTATTAATAAACATTTGTTTATTAAATGAAAACTTCTTGTTTTTTTGTTTCTAAATAATAAATAATCAAAAGAAAAAAGAAAAAAGAAAAACAAAAGTCGATTGAATGAAATTATTTTCATCAATGAACAAGATATTCGACAATAACTAAACACTAAACAAACAAAT